ATAGGTGCAGGCAGAGGTGCTTAAGGTGGAGGATAGTATGGATAAGTCTGAGGAGCAACCTGGACTAGAGGAGCCGGAGGCTGATAAATCGGTGCCGAGGCCTGGAAATGGACAGTCGGGGCCTGATGCACAGGATATCCCAAGTATGGGTGACTAGAGGCCGTGACTGCAGCTGAAGGATATGAAGCCGATTGATATGGCTGACTTGAGGGATACTGAGTTGGAACAAGAGCCGAATAGGGCGCATGTGACTGATGGTATGGAACTGGGGTGGCCTGAAGAGGCTATACTGGTGGATGACTATACATGACCTGAGGAGGGTCAGGTCAAGACTGACTATGGGATGGACGGTTTCGTGGTCAATCTGGTTCTATGAAAGGTGGAGGACGAGAAGATTGGTGGTGTCGGCTCACTGACGGGGTGTAACTCACATAACTTTGTTGGTCATGGGTTAAAGAGGTCATCTGATTCTGACCTGGTTGATGACTCGATGCCTTAGGTGAGGTATGTGGCTCAACAAGGCCATCACGATTTAAGAAAGCCTTGACCCCAGGTAAGTTCTTGAGACACTCGATTGAGAGGGACTTGTAATCCCTATAATTATGTAAGGATGAACTTTGAGGAATAGAGGCATGGCTTAAAGAACTCTTGGGTTTAGGTGAAAATATCTTAAGTTTAGGTGAAAATATCTTACTCTCTAGTTTCTCTTGGTGGCTAACCTTGCTTGGGCCCTGAATTGATCTTCGACAGTACTCTACATATAACGGGTTAGCCGGCCAGATGAGCTCATCATTTGGGTTGCTATGGACCTTATTGAGTTGGTTGCCCCTAGAATAGGTCTTTTGAGGAGGTGGGTAGTATGCCCCTAATTGGGCAGCATGAACTCTAGGTTTTGATATGGATGGGTGGTGTGCCCTTAGTTGGGCAGCATCACCCTTAGACTTCGATGATGATGTGGGGTGAGCTGCCAGCTTAATAAGACTTTCCTCAGACTTAGGCATTTGTGGGTGATGTGACCTTCGTTGGGTGGTATCTCCCTTAGATATGGAAGATAAAGGGGTTTTAGCTACTGATTGGGCAGCATGTCCTCTAAAACCAGAGTTCTGTGGAAAATGTGTCCCGGATTGGGCAGCATCTCACTTAGACTTAGACTTAAAAGATAAAGGTACGTTCAACTCTAGTTCTTTAGATCCAAGTCGAATACCTTGATTATTAAGGGTGCCTTAGGCCATTTATGCTTGCTGGACTCCACAGCTCGATTGACTTATAGATGTGTTAGCTATGCTTAACCTTGGGTGCAGGACAATGGACCTACTGGAGCCTGATCTCGATTGACCTAAGACATGGTAGGCTCAGGGAATTGAGCCATAAAATCATATGGATCTAGTCATCCTAGGGGCCCTATATGACATAGTAGACTCAGTATCTAAGTCACCACAAACTACAGACATGACTAGAAAATTATGCAACCAAAATCTTCTTTTATTTATTTATTTTTTTTTTTTTGCTCTTTTTTTAGCTATCTAAAAAAAACAAGATAAAGATGCATCTAAAAGAAAAATAACTTTATTTTTTTTAGAGAGAATAAAGGATACTTCTAAAGAAGATAAAGTCAAGAAAATTCTAAGTTATGCAGATAACGCTTAAAAAGCAAAAGATAAGATAAAAAAAAAGAGAGATATATTTCTAATATAAATAGATAAAGCTGACAAAGCCTAGATCTGTCTTTTTTTTTTGAAGTATTTTTCAAAAAGAGGTAAAGATTATTATTATTATTTTATTAGGAAAGAAAAAAAAGTCTATTTCTTAAATATGCATTCTAAAAAAATAAAGATACACTTAAAAAAGATAATTATGATCTAAGGAAGATAAGTATGAATGAAAGAAAGTATGAAAAAGATGATAATGATGATGTAGATGAATGATATCAAGATGAATCTAAAGATGTTCTAAAGAAACAAAGACGATTTAAAAGATTATCTAAAAAGATGATCTAAAGATAAAGATGGCCAAGATGGATAAAAACGAAAGACGTTCTAAAGATAAAGATAATCAAGATGGATCTAAAAGAAAGATGATCTAAAAAAAACTAAAGATGATCTAAAGATTGAGAGAAATCTTAAAGATGATTTAAAGATTGAGAGGAAAAAGATCTTAAATTTT